AGATCAGCTGCGTGTGTCGCCTGGCCATGACTGCCATGACTGCCATGTACGCGACACCGAGCGCATGTCCGTGCGGCGCAGTTTCAGAAGGACGGGGAAGATAGCACCATTTTTTCTGCTGTTCGTCCCGGGTCATGGTATCTACAAGCTTCAAAACACCACAGGATTCCCTCGCAATGTGTAGAGTCACCGGTGCATTCATTGTGCTTGGCGGGATGGCAGGGCTTTGCTGAGGCCTGTTTAGGTGCTAATTTTTTTCCACCGGAAGTGTGTGTGCCTTTCACTGAATTACTTTTCAACAATGACATAGCTACCGCCGGAGGGCGGCACAGAATGCTCTGATTGCTTCGTTGTCCCAGCATGGCCATTTCACAGTCGTTCATTAGATTGTCGTTTCGCGGAAGTTCCGCAAGAAAGTGGACAATTCATACTTGCCTATTTATTTTGCAATTTTCTAAAAATATATTTAGAAAATCACCTGATACCAAAATCCCAAAAAGCCGAAAATTCACCGACCGCCTTCGGTCCCAACCGAAGGCTCTCCAAAGCGGCGGAGCTGGCGCTGGAGCTGAACGAAGCCGCCACGAGGGGCGACCAGCACAGGGCGGAGCAGCTCTTTCAGGTGAGCGCCCGCCCAGCGTTTTCGGATAGCGCCCAAAACCACAAGGGGCGATGTATGGGTCAAAATTAAACCACCAGCCAGGTTTTAGTCCATGTTTCCATTGACCAGGGTGCCATTTTGGGTAACTATTTTTGACCTGCAGCCATGCCAGGACTGGGTTCCTATGGCCTCATTTAACTTGTGGCGGATATAAACCCAGCAGTTTTCTTTGTGGAATCAATTTGACTTGGGTTGAAGCGGCATATAGCTGAATTTTGTGGAATCAGAAGTCAGAAGTCGGTCTGGACGTGGGGTTGCCCGAAACAGACTGGTGGAAATAGGCAGTGCAACTTGCTTCAGCGGTCCTGACAGGGGGGAATTTAAGGAGCCATACAAGGGTTCTTGAGTTATTTTCCCTTTCACCCTTCATTCTCCTTTCATAATCCTTGTCTTTTCACCCACCATCTTGAATCAACTTTAGGTGGGTGATGAAGAGAAAAGACAAGCTAGCCACATCCAAGTTCGCGAACATAATTGGATTATGTTCGGGCGAACCGGGGCTCATTTGAAATGGACGGGGCTTGCAAAACTCCGCAAAACAGTGAATATGCAAGGTGAGAGTCATCTATTTTGTGGCGTGTTTCGTGAAGACCATCACAGAGAAAGCAGGCCGCCACAAACAAGCAGGCAGCGAAGCAGCCGCGCGAGGACAGCGAGATCTGCCCAGAACAATGAAACGCAATCGGAAGTGATGCCAGACGAGGGGAAGGCAGGCCTGCGAAATGAAGAGGAAACTGCCCCGGAATCGAGACAGTGGACACGACCGAAGCCAGGACAGGGTCGTGTGACTGCGCCAAATCGAATAGGGAGTCCAAGCATAAAATGCAAAATTGAAAGAAAGGAGCAAGCAAAGGATGAGCTGCGAACAAAGACAACACGCCTGCCAAGCGACAGAGCACAAAACCTAAGGCAAAACGAGCATCACTTGACATGAGCATAAGAAGTAATGCTGCGGGGCCAAAACGCAGTGCCATGTTCTGCGATCATGCCCCCTCCCCACCCCCCCCCACCCCCAAACTCCCCAAGCCACGATATGTTCAAACATGATGTCTTCTTGTCGGGGAACCCCGTCTGGAGGGTTAAAACTCAAGGGACTGCTCATGGAGACCAAGCGCGTTTTCTGGCAGCTGTTGCGCCTCCAAATCGGAAGTTTAATGTTGCAGCGGCCTTTGATGCAATGCGACAATGAGCAGAGCTGATATTCTCACCAGCCATTTCAACCCTCCCGTGTCTGAAATTGCATATCCAGGTTTCATTGCATGTCAGCCTAAAAGGAGACGGCAAACAGCAGTACAGCCGTCTTGCAGACCGGGGCCGCAATGCCATCTTTTGGATTATTCTTGTGTCTGAGAGAGCGGAGGCTACAGTTTCCTCGTCCATCCACTCTCTCTCTCTCTCTCTCTCTCTCTCTCTCTCTCTCTCTCTCTCTCTCTCTCTCTCTCTCTCTCTCTCCGAATGAGCGAATGGAGAGATACGGAATGGCTCTATTCTCTGCGTTCCCTTTATCATCCCTCTATCTCATCTGGAATGACCCGACATGCGCGGCACGAGAGCGATGAGCCACTGACGAGTGATCCCTGAAATGGATGGTTCTTTCCAAGGATGCTTTCAGTTGCCAGCCGAATAATATTCTGTAGTGAACACCGCCTTCAATGTTGCTTGACGTCATCATGATTCAGCCGCAAGCTGAGACTGGTTGGATCCCACGATTGTCCCGACATCACCATTTGTTTGTACGTGTTCAAGGCAACCAGGCCCCACTCAGCAGGATAACCCGGGTTTGTTCTGTGTGTGTGTTGGCAAACTTAGCTTGCTTCAGGTCTTGTTGATCCCCAACACATGGGCTTGCCTTTCACACCAGAAGACGACCCAGAGTGCTTTTCTCGTCGAGCCTGGGTGAAGATTCCACGTACTTTGCCTCGGCCAGGTGGTCTTACCTCAGCTACCAGAGAAAGCGACGAGGACCTACAACACCTTACTGAAGGCGCTCAACTCGGTCGGTTGAAGCTTCGAAGCGATCACGGCTCGCACAATCATATCCCAGCCAGGCGATGGGATTGGGGTGGGTACATTTCTTGGACAAAGGTTGTTCTTTGGACTCACCTGGCGCTTTCACCCACCTTTGGCGACTCCCTGAGGCATATGCCAATGCCGGCTCTGCCAAGAAGGCAGTGGAGTGTTACAGCCAGATGCACTCCAGCCGAGTGCGGACCAACGCAAGGACGGGCGTTTGAGGCTGAGGGGGAGGTGGATGTGTGGTTGTTGATATTTGTTTTTCTGTTTTTTTTAAACAGAAGTTCGAGGGGTTCTTCATGGAAGTTCCCAACTTCAGTTCAGTGGAACTGTTATATTCAAAGGTTGCCAAGCTCGCTCCCCTGGTCCAACGAATCGGTCGACATGAACTGCGCCCGAATTAGCTACACGGCGCTTGCGTTGGAGGTCAGGCATGCTTCGCTGGCCTTCAGAAAACTTCAACTTCATGTCCATGGAGTAAGTCAGGAACGGGTCCTTCTCAGCAACAGACCATCCATCGAGATCACAGCTCAAGTTCCGCATCTGGTTGACTTGCTGGTGCTCAGTGGGGAATGAGCCAGAGTGTTGGGAATGAGCCTAGGGATTCCCTGAAAGGAAGTCACAAGGGATGGTTATAGGGGTCATCCCCTCATCTCCTGCTGAGAACGAGCAATTTGAACTCTAACTTCAGAAGCATCCAGAGTTTCCAATCCAACATTAGGCCCGCACGATTTGAGTGAGGACCATTGCTTTTGTTTACTGCCGTATACAGAGCCTAGGGCCAAAGTCCGATTTGTCAGTATTTTTGGGAAACCACCTTTGGGTTGGTTTTGAAAGGAATCCCAAAGGAAGCCAACGATTTGGGAATCCATGTCCTTTGTCCCATCGATTTGTTTTGTCTCCCATTGGATGCTCAGCTCACTTAGACAGAAGTTAGAACCTTCATTATGGCTGGACTAGTGATTAATTTTCCTCGTTGGGCTCTCGCGATGGTTTTCCATACCCTGTTTCAGACGTTCTTCATTGGGTTTGTGAGAAACATAGGAAACTCCTAGGAACAAGGCGAGACATAAAACCACTGCCGGAGCTCCGTCAACTAGAAAAAAAGAACCCCTGCCATGGAGGTAAGAAAGCTAAAGCCATGGATGCTAAAATGAAACCAAACAGGAGGTCGGAAGACCATTTTCCTGAGGGGCCCTTCTGGTGGGGTTCCGATATTTACCCGGTATAGTAACGTGGAATTGGACCTAATGGACAAGTTCCACCGGGTGGTTTTTCCCAGTTTTCATTGGGTTGTCAGGGTCTCGATACGGTTTCTAGGGTTTTCAATAGCGGTTTTCATTTGGTTTTCATAAGGCTTGTCAAAGGGTTTTTCATAGGGTTTTGGTAGGGTTCTCAGCAAAGGAAGTTTAGAAGGAGCTTCCGTGTTGCGGCAACTAGCTGAAGGCTAGCTCTCTGAGACAGATGACAAGAGAAGAGGCACTTGAAAAAAGCACGCGCGGGCGTGTAGCCGGGAATTAGAAACGGGAAAGACATGCAACCCTCTGTAGGTTTCGCTGCTTCGGCATGCTCGAAGCTTGGCCTGATCGCGACGCCTGGTCGAGAGCGCGCTCGGAGCATGTCCAGACTGCGCTCGGAGCCAGGGCCATTGGCGCAGCAAAACTTCCGTGGCAGGCGCAGCGCTTTCGCAAGGTCCGGGATTGTGAAGCATGACGATAAGCTTGCTCATGAGAACTTGCAGAAGCTACGCTTGAGCAGGATGTTACTCAGACAATTTATTTACCTTGTTTCTCTGTTTCCGCGCCACCCGCCGTCTTGTTTAGGCCAATAGTGCTTGAGGTCCCTTCCCGGAATAACAGGGTTTTGATACAGCTTCGGATTTTCATTGGGTTCTCATAGGGTTGTCACAGGGCTGTCGTTCGGCTTTCATCCCAAGCGGGTTTTGCCAGGACCTACGGCAAGTTGGTGGAGGCCTACGCAAAGCGCGGGGACCTGGAGAGCGCCCTGGTCTGGGTGGCCCGCATGGCGAAAAGCTTCGAGGTGGCGCCTGGGCTGTCAGGCGACCCCTCTGGTGGTTTGGATTGGGGAGAAGCCCTGGCTGCGATGGGAAACCAAACCGAAACCAATCCAATCCGATTTGGGAGGGAAACGGAAGAAAAAGTTGCAAGGGCAAAGGGAGACACTGCAATGGCGAGACTTGCAAAGTAGCAATATGGATTTGAATGGGGGATTTTTGTCCATCAGCCACTGTTGAGCGGGTTCCTTTAAAACACAAACTGCTTACCCCAACGGAAGCGCCCAGACCCCTCAACATGGGGCAGAGTACGTTTGCCCAGAGATCCATTCAAACCACGCCTGCTGGACTGGGCTTTATGGATTCAGACGCTTTTGACTGCTGAGTTGCATCTCATGCTAGGAGTATATATATATATATATTCATATCTCGGTATGAGACTCCTCATGCACAGACGCCCAGCCACTCTGCAACTGCGCATGTAGAAGCGCCCAATGGGCCTTTGCCCAATGTCGGAAACCACGGCGTAGTGTGCAGGAAGCCTCGCAAGCAAGGCCCTTTCCAGGTTTCTGAAGCGCTCAAAGTTGCGCAAGCATACAACAATACAAACACCTAAATCGAGCGTGTCAAACATCCGGTAGTAACTCACACCTGCCAATGACCAGTGTCAGATCCATGGCCACATGTCATTGGCAGGAGTGTAAATCGGCTGGCTGCCAGGCAACGCCAAAGGTTCGCTTGTTCTGCTACCGGATCTTATTCAGTTGCGCTGCGCCAAGTGAACTTACAGCTGTGACCACCCAAGAACAACCGAAATCGCTTGGCGAGCCTATTGCCGAGGATCAGGTTGTTCTGAACACCCTCATGGACGCTGCTGCCCAGGCACAGGAATGGGTGTGACATCGGCTGGTGCAAAGAAGAAATCATGAACAGCTTGGCTTGGCCACAGCAAGTGCTTGAACGCTGAGCCCCTTCACCTTTGAAATGACCTGGGTTCGTTTAGGCTCCTTTGATCCCCGCTTGCGGATAGGCCTCTTCAAAGGTTCTGGTTTTCTGTTGACTCGCTGGGAAATCATGCTGCCCACCAAGTATCAAGTATCAGAACCGGAAGTACCTTGGGGCCCTCAGACCCCTTTTTGAGGTCTAAAACCTTTCAGAGGAGGTGCTAACCCCTGGAATGGAGGGTCCAATGATGCTCGTTGGGTTGCATTTTGATTCGTGCGGGGCCTTCCAGCAGCGAATTAGTTGCTCGGCCGATTTCTCTAAACCAAAGCACGACCGCCCTTGCATTGCCTAGCATGGTTTGGGTGTATTCGATGCTCAGCTTCTTGGCTACTTGCTATTCATGGGAGTGGAAAAGGCCGCGGACGGTTGTTTTGCCTTCAGTGCTATCCCTCATGAGGGGAGTTGCTAAGAGTTGCCTTGGCTAGGGGCTCGAAGCCTTTTCAAATCTCCACAGCCTCACTTGCGAGCTTAGTCAAACCTTTCGGACCATGGCTAAACACAGATGCTCTGAACATTAGATTGCTGGTTTACTTGTTAACACTTTCTGAACGTTGACCTTTGACATCTTGGTGGCAACCACCTGGCCCAAACCCAGCTGCCGCAACTTATTGAATCAAGAGCGGGTGGGGACTTCTGCATGCGAACGCAGCGAATGGTTTTGCCAGCTGTGTACCAGAAAATTCCAGTGTTTGCGGCCTCTGTGAAGTGCAGATGCTTGTTTGGGTCCGAGTTTGTTTTTCAACTGGGGGCCCCACACATGGCGATCTTTTTTGCTTGGTTCCCTTTTGGCAACCTGAGGTAACAAGGACCTTGGGGGCCCTCAAAAACACACAATGTTTGCCAGCAAAAGGAGCGGTTTCAGCTGGGTCCTTAGGACCTTCCCTTATCAGCCCGCAGCTCGCGAGGCTGGCCGCGTGCCCGAGGCAGAGGCGGGGCAGAGCGAAGCTCCGGAGACGGGTCGCCTTTGGAGTGGAGGAGGTCTTCTTCGTTTTCTTGGCGGCCTTTGAAGCTGGGTCCTCCGGAAGCACACACCCTCCCAACCCCAAACAAGAATTTCCCTACCCTTGAAACTGAATACTCCGGAAGGATTCCCTTGTTGCGGAGTTACTCGACTCAAAACGTTTGAGATGCTGAGGTGAGCTAAGAACATCCTTGACAGCCGCTCGAACATGTTGCAACACCCCGGCAGCAAATGAGCAACGTCCATCTGAACGGAATTCGGCAAACAATTTCTGGAGCGTGAGGTATTTCACTGAACGAAAACATTGCCTTTTTTACGCAAGCTGCGGTTGTCCATGGAGGCAACCCGATGGTCGAAGTGCCCATGGATGCAGCGAGCGGCATACCTACACCCATCAAGCTCGCCAGCGAATGCTTCGTTCTTGGGTTTCCCACTTGTGGTCGGCGGCATGTTGCAATCCAAACCGTGGCAGACCTTTGGGTCGAAGGTCAATCCCCTGAGAGATCGTCCCGTGGTAGCCCGTGTGATCTAAGACAAAACAGTAGATCTGGGTGAATTATAACGACCTCACACGACCTCACCTCAAATGGTGGTTTATGTGGCCACCTTATACCAGGCTGGTGAAATATTCTAATTCACCCAGGTAGATGGTCCTTCGTGGCTTCAAAATCCTTTTTTGAAGCCCTTGCCATTAGGGTCATGGCACAGAATTAAAGTCCGGTGTCCTTCGAATATTCAGCGTAGATCGTTTGGAGACCCGGGTGGTGTTTGGACGACTACACGCGCCTTGGCACAAGGGCCAGAAGGCACTTCCAAGGCACTTCAGCCCATTTCAGCAGGGAGTCCTCCATTTCCCTTTTTGGAACCTCCAAAAGTGGCAGTTGCAACGGAACCTACTAGTCAATTGCAACTTTTCAAGGAAATCTAGTTAACCTTTTTTCAGCCCCTGATCTCAAGCTTTTGTCAGGCGCTGATGTTTGGCCTGAAGCAGTACAGCGTGCAGCCCACGCAGGAGAGCTTCGGGAGTCTCTTGCATGCCTGTGCCAAGGCAGAGCTTGGGAGAGGAGGGCACACGTGGGAATTTCGCCATCCCTAATTTGCTGTGCCCCAAGGAGTCGGGAGGCAAAAATCAGCGACATTGCTTGTTTGCTCTTTGCTTGTTAGCTGCTTTAGGATCATAAATGATACCACAAGCTAGCGTCACATCGCCTTTGCGTTGCGCACGCAGGCATTTGGGCATGTGTCCTGTGTTTGTATTCGTATGCACTTGTTGTGTGTAGGAATATGTGCGTACTCGTAGAACTACGGTCACAACAGCATCTGCAAAGAAAGCAGCCACTCTACACTACTGAAAGCAAGAGACGAGATGGAAGCGCAGATAGCAGTGATCCTGAGATTTGTTCATTTGTCGGGTGGGTTCTGACTTGCCAATGCCCACACAACAAGCATCCCCTGAGCCTTTCGTCCAGCACGTATTATTTTTTTTGCTGGAAGAGATGAAGCGCGGGATCTCCGCGACACGGGCACGCGGCACTGGCCTAGCTCCGAGTCCCAAGTGTCGCTGTGTCGGGTTCCGCGGCAGGCAACGGACGTGGTGCAGGCGCGAGGCTTGTTGGGGCGCATGCGCCAGAGCTGCCTGGCGCCGAATCGCCACTGCTTCAGCGCTGCGCCTCGGATGAGCGGTGTGGGTTGGTTCGGTGCTTGTGGGTGATTGTGCTCGGTTTGGATCTCTGCCTCTCTTTGTTTCTTTATCTCGCTATCTCTCCATCTTCTCTCTTCCTCCCTGTTTACTCTCGTTTTCTGTCTTTGTTCTCTCTTTGTTTTCTCCTTCTTCTTTGATTCTTTGTTCTTTCTTTTTCTTTCTTGTCTCTTTCTTCTTCTTGTCACTTCTCGTCTCTTTTCTTTTGCCTTGATTCCATCTTTCTTTCTTTGCTCTTCTCTTTTTCTTTCTTTCTTCTTTCTTTCCACCGTTCATTCAATCCTTCCTCCGGTCTCGTGCCCCCCGGCGCGCTCCGAGCGCCGAGGTGATCGACGCCTGCGGCAAGGCGGGGAAGTCGGCGGCCGCCATCGAGGTGCTGGCGGAGATGCAGAGCCAGCAGGTCGCCCCAGACGTGGTGGCCATGTCCAGCATGGTCCATGCCTTTGCTCGGAACGGGAAGGCGACGAAAAATCTCACTTCCTTCAGGGTCATGCCCCCTCCAATGCACACCCCTCCCTCCAATGCAGAACCCCAACCCCTCAAGGAGCCTCAAAAACAACCCATTTTGAGGGCCCAAAATCAATCGAGACCCTTAAGGTTCCTGAGTTCATGGACTTCAAACTTTTTGAACAGACCATGTTGGGGGGGAAATAAGAAGTTCTGAGTTTTGCTTGGCCTGTCCACTCAGGAGTGAGGCATGGTCAAGAGATCCCGGGAAATGCTGGAATGAGGCTGTGTCGTTGTAGTTTTCATGATTCATCTTACGAACTGTTTTGGCTAAGCGTTCTTTGTCAATTCCGAAAGCAAAGAATGGTCTTCAAGTTGCGCTGCCATCCGTCGGTGGACCTGTCACCTGTCAGGTGGCTGATGCCGCGAAGTGGCTGCAGAGGGCCAAAGAGCTTGGCTTAGCTCCCAATATCATCACCTACAACAGCATGATCCACGCCTGCGCTCGCATTGGAGACCCCAAGCAGGCTGAGTCGGCGAGTGATGACGATACTCACCAAATGTTCCGTCCAACCATAAACCATGTTTAGCATGGGAACGAGGCCAATGGCTGGCAATGCTTGCTGAGAGAACCATGTTTCTTCTCAGGTGTGGGATTTGTGAGATGGTTGATTCTGGCTGGGACGTTTTCCATTGGAGGAACTCAACGTCAGGAGTCCCTCACCCTTTAGCTTTTGTCCGCGTTCGGGGAGTGTTCCATTCAACGTCCACATGCAGAGTGCAGATTGCTGAGCTTCCTTTGGTTTTCTCTGCCTGATTTGGACCCTCCCACCCACCTCATGAAGTACTCATTTGAGAGGGTCACTTTGCTGGGATTGTGCGTAGGTGTCAAAGGAAACCCAACGGAAAAAGAAACAACCACAACAAATGGAAGGTGCCTCTAGTTGAAAGACACCTTATTTTTTGCGGACATCTGACGTATAGGTTTTCCCTCGCCCCTCGCCGAGGTAGTCGAGTCGCTCGCCAGGCCATCCGGTGGTTTGAGCAGCTGCAGATGGCCGGGCTGGCGCCGGCCCTGGCGTCCTACGGGGGGGTCATCGAGGCCTTCGCGAAGCGTTTGGACTGAAGGGGGTGGGGGGGCGGGGGGGGGGGTGGAGGTGGATGGGGGCGGGGTGGGTGGGAGGGGTGGAGGTGGGTGGCATGTGTTCTCTTTGGATTGTATTTCAAGCGAAATCAGAAGGGACAATTCTGGAAACCACCCTTTGGAGGGTTCCCCCCAACAAAAGATGCCTCTCACATAGTGTCTTTCTCTTTTTCTCACTCCCTGAGTTTCTGGACTTTGTCCAACTTGGGAAGACCATTTGAGTGGTAAACAAAGAGCTTACACTTTTGTTGACCCATCCACTCAGGATGTGAGTTTTGAGGGTTCCATTTTTGAAGGATTGAAAGTGGAATCAAAGGGAAACCCTGAATTTTGGGAGGTCCTCTTTTCAAGACATGCACATGAGAAACGAACATATCACCTGGGTATCGATGTTGCGTCGATTGGTTTGACATGGTTGAGATCATTGGTTTACCGGTTGGTTTGGGGAGGACATGGGGGGAAAACACATTCCCCCAAATACCCGGGAGGGGGGACCAGGCCCCAAATTGCTCAATATCCTTGCGGAACAAAAACTGCCATATGCGGCAAGGCCTCTCCGGTGGTTCCCCTCTGCATTGAGGGCGCGCTTCCCCCATGTTTTCAGGGCTGCGGGCTGTTTCGCTGCCAAAGTCCCGAAGATCAGTTTGCATTGGCCGCTCTTGACGTGTTCCAGTCTTGAGAATCGTCGCCGGTTTGCTTTCGAGGGGAGGTCTGACGCGCCGAGGAAGGGGCGGCCCCGGGCGGAGGCCCAAAAGTGGTTCAACCGCATGGCGAGGCAGCACTCCCCGGACGCCCCAGCCTTTGTGAGCCTGCGTCGCGGCTATGACTGGCCCAAGCGTGGAATCTGTTTTGGAGGTGCCAGTCCGCGCGCAAAACCAATTTGAAGGAGCCGGACAAAAAAAACAGCACAGCAGTGCTAGGATGCTTTTCAGCTCATTCACGCTTGTTTTGCGCGGCCCTTAGTTGTTCTTACACCCAGCAACTCCTGCCGTGTTCGCACTTTTTTGGCGGGTTACCACCCTGAAATCTGGAGTATTCTCAGTGGCAGGTTTTCGGCTGAGTAGGTTGAGATCAAGTATTGGCAGTACTAGTGGGAATCTAAGATGAAGCCTTTCATAGACAATAATTTCAATATGTTCCTCGGAAGTCCCCTGCCATTTTGCAATTTGTTACCCTCATTCATTATTCTTGCAATTCGGACCCGCTTTTGTGATTGGGGTGGCTTTTATACCACATGGTTTCCGCATTCAGAATCCTGTACTGTTTCGAGGGTTGCCTTAATGGAAAGTTGTGTTGCCGGAAAATATCCGGGCAAACCAATCTGGGCAAACATTGGGAATTCCTTTTTTGTGGTCCCCAAATCATCAAATGTAAAATAGCTTCTTTATGCGGAAAAGGGCAGTCACACCCAACCATTTTTTGGGGTTGGGATTTTGATAGTATGTGAGCCTCGGCGACACTCAATTTTGAATTGGCCATGCAAAATTCAGCACTGGGAATCTGAGAGTAAGTCTCCGCAATACTCAATTTAGAAAAGGGAATGCCAAATTAAGTACTGGGAATCTGAGAGGAATTAAGTCTTGGCAATACTAATGTTAGAGTTGGCAAGACTAAATTGAGTACCGTGAATCTGAGAATAAGGCTTGGGAAAGGTTAGCCCCTGAAGATTTTAGGCTCGGCTAAAGTGGCTAGCGGCCTTTTCAGTTTGGCGACCTGTTTCCCGACACCCATTTTATTTCCGCCGGGGGGCTAATCCCCTAGTCTGTAACTTTTGTGAGGCTTAGCCCGCCCATGGCATTTTTGGACAAAAGCCCGCCCCCCCGTTTTATTTCAATAAAATGGGGGTCCTAACTGGCAAGGGAACAAGACGGGGCATCAAACGACGCGGATCAAAGGCTCCCAGGTGTGATCGACACAAAGTAAGAGTCGTCCTTTCCAAAGCCACAATTTGGAACTTGGAAATCGAAGCCTGAGCTTCCATGTGGCACACTTTCGCTCTGAGGATTTGGCTCTGCGCTCGGGGGGGCCAGTTCTGGGAAGCCGTGGAGTGGGTGCGGCGTATGCAGCAGACCATGCCGCTGGATGACAGGCTGGCCGGCTGACGACGGTTGCTTGCGGTTGCTCTGCTCACACGAGATGGTATTCGGGCAACCCTCCAAGTTGAGGCTGGAAGCCAGAGCTAGTTGAAAGCTTGGCTGAATGTACACGTTTGCCCCCGATGAACCGCTGGCAGCGGCGAAAAAAAACACAGTCACATGGAACAAGTGGGTGGGTTCATCGGTGCTAGCTGCCATCATGCCTTGAATGCCTGACATTGGGTGGGAGCTACTTTGCCGAGGCTGCCTATTGGGGCAATCTCAGGGTCCGGGTCCAAATGGGCCGGTCGGGACACCAGCTCGGGATTTCGCGACAGACCCTACAACGCCTTACTGGCGGCCGCAGCGCAAGCCGGAGACCCAGAAGGTGCCTTGCAGTGCCTGGAGAAGATGAAGGAGAAGTCCCTGCGGGTGAGCGTCCTCACGCGGCTCGCTCGGAGCGAGAAGGGTGGTCAGCACGCGCTTTTCTGACAAAAAATGATGCCAGCGTGAAGCCAAAAAGGTCGGGGATGAGTTGCCAGTCAGTACTGGTGTAACATAAGCTCTGCAGGCTATGAGGTTGGAACCGCGCCGGATTTGGTTCCGGGTTGGAAGCGCAAAAAAAATGCGGTTCGGGATGCTCGGTTCGGGGTTCGCCCGGGTTCCGAAGTCCAGGCACACCAACATCGTCAATGCCTATGGGAAGGCTTCTCAGCACCTCAAGGCAGTGGCATGGTTGGAGGTGATGGCCAATGACCACCATGCGCCCAACCTGCTCTCCTACACCAGTGCCCTCGAGGCGGGTGCTTTGTGGTCAGGGGTCGGTGTTTTGGTACTCAAGTTCCTCCTAGGGAAGGAGCCAAGAGGTTTTGCATGAGCCTTCCTGCCAGTCTGCGAGTTTGTCTGAAATGGGGGGAGTCGCACTTGCCAGATGCCTCCCACGAAAAGCTGGCACCATCATGGTGGCACCTGCGATGTGTCTGTTCAGCTGGCAGGCCTGTTTGCGCGTGGCTGCGTGGGACGAGTCCTTACGCCTGCTGGATGTCATGCACCAACAAGGCTGTAGCCGGCAGATGCTTAGTACTTTCGATCATTGCTCTAGACGTTGTGGACATAGCGTGTCTCAACATGGAGAACCCCCTTGGACGATCAAGGAAACCAAAAGGGGGTCGATCATTTCGAGATGCGACATGTCGTGTTTACACACGGGTATGGGACAAAATTAAACCACCAGGCAGATTCTAGTTTTTGTTTCCATTTACCAGGGCAACCCATTTGGGGTAGTGATTTTTGACCCACACCCACAAGTTCTGAGCCACCCCCAGAACGCAACTGCCTTGCGCACGTCTCAGAGGCATCCGCGCTGATCGTGTGCTGCTGGGCAAGCTCAAGCGGCTGATGCCTTTAGAGGTGCGGGGTGCGGGGTGCGAAACCATCTTTCCCAATTCCATTTTACCATTAAACAAACTACACACCCCTTTCCCCCTTTTCAATATTATTAGTATTCATAAAGAGTGGTGCAAAATTTCGATTATTCCAATATATGTATAATTAATAATCCTCAAACCTCCTATGATAGTCAATAATGCAAAGATTTGTTTTCTTATTGTGGTTCGCCCCCATTGTTGATGGGGACCAGAATAAGTGAAAGCGGTTTTGCCCGGGGGGGGGGGGGGAAATCCAACAAAATATATCCACACATCAGTTTTAATTTAGAAAAACCATTCCCCCCACCCAAACAATCACCCAAATGCCAACAATACACAAAACCCAAAGCCAGTTGAAACCTCTGAAATTTGAAAACCATCCCCAGCCCTGAAACTGCAAATTCTTTATTCAGCCGTGTTTAAAAAATGAAAAACAAAAACAATCATGACACGGGTACCCCTCACAGACCCCACTGAACTACAACAATGGCATTGTTTAGGGGGACCACATTAATTAGTTGCAAGCCCCCAACCCCCCTCCAGAAAATAAACCGTCACTTGCTTTACTTCCCCGTTCGATTGGTGGCCCACTTACTTAAAAGCATTCCCCTTTCAATTGGTGGCCCACTTGCTTAAAAGCATTCCCCTTTCAATTGGTGGCCCACTTGCTTAATTAAAAGCATTCCCTTTTGGATGGCTACAGAAAGAGCTGAAAGGGAAGTGGTTGCAATACTAAAGTAGTATTCCAAAAAGTCTGCTCAGGAAGAAGTGGTTGCAATACTAAAGAAATTAGTATTCCAAAAAGTATGCTCAGGCAGAAGTGGTTGCAATACTAAATAGAGTAGTATTCCAAAAAGTCTGCTCAGGAAGAAGTGGTTGCAATACTAAAGTAGAATTGCAAAAAGGAAGTGGCTGCAATACTAAAGTAGAATTGTGCCCCAAATCCTCCATGCTTTGGACGTCCCAAAAGTGAGCCTACAGAATTCTATTGCCTCCATTGTTTGAGGGGGGGGGTTATTAATCAAGTTCCAACATTAGGTGTCCTTTTCAGGTGAGTTTCATTAACAATAGATGGGTTCCACTGGTTTAGATGGGGTTTATTCCATTTACCAGGGCCATCTATTTTTAGAGAAGGCCACCTATGTGTCGCGGGATTCGTGGCCCTCAAAGGTCTCCAGCAAACAGCATGGCTTCACCAGACGGAATTTACGCCGGCCAGCCCTGAGGTGTTCCAGCACTGGTCCTCTGCGCAATCATTTCCGACCCGGACCTGACAGCATTTGACTGAGCCGCCAAACGTGGGGCGTGAAATGAGGCCTGGCTTGAGTTCGATCTGAAGTCTCCAAGCGACTTCTACCTGATTGAGCCTTCTTCGATGGGCAAGCTTCACTGGGACTTTACGACTCGACTCGGCCGAACTGACGAGGCTGCGCACCATCCCTCTGGATATGTATCTTATGGAACTGATGTGTTTGGCTGGAAGCGACCCCGGATGCGACAATTTGTGCTATGCGATCAACGTGTCAGAGACTCATTTCCAGGTGCTGGACATTTCAAGCTGATCACTGAAACCCGCCCGGAAAGTGGCTCCGGCAACCACCAGCAGCTTGCCAACTTCCGGAACATCGACAATTTAACACCTCACTCAGAGAATCTACAATATGCGGTATCGCACTCTTATCCAGATCATGCAAAATTCGGCGAATTATATATATATATATATTAATTCGGCGAATTATATATTATATTAAATGGTTGCTAAACGAAGCATATATGTATATATAACCATCATATATTTAAACAACAGGAAATGATTTAAATATTTTTTATAATATATAGAATATTTATTTTTGTTATTTCTTTTATTTGATTTATTAAATATAAAAAAAAAAAAAAAATGATAAATATTTAATTATGTGTTGTTATTGTTTTTATGTTTTTTTCCCTTATTTTAATATTAATATATTAAGTTTAATAATTATATAAATATACATGTAAATTTATGAAATTATAGTTGATATATATTTTTAAAATAAATGGTATTTATTTATTCTATAAAATGAAATTATGAAATTCGATTGTCGTATTTGTGCGCATTTTTCTGGATTGTTTTGCCGAAAAAAAAAAACATATATTTTGGGAAGTTGGTCCGGGCTGCTCTTGGAAGATGAAATCGTTTTATATTTCTTACGGACCATTTACCTAAATTTGTCCGGGCTACCCCCCCCGGTAAATGTGCGGAAGACATAGTGGCTTCATTTTATTTGGAATAAAATATCCGGGATATTTCGGAAAAATGGTGTTTTGAACGAAGCTATTTCTGAAACCCTTAGTCGTATATTCGAAACCCAATAGAAATTGTTGCGTTAGCTTGCTGGCGAGCAATTTCGGCCGCTTATCGTTAATACGCAAACAAGAATTGAGACATTCTGAACCCAATTTTCAAACGCTTATCGTCAATACGTAAGCAAGAATTGCGATATCTTGAACCCTTAGCTCTACACCGCAAATCCCTTTGGCAGCAGCGATGGCCGCTTCGAATCAGCCTTAACCTTAAAACCTTAAAGCCTATTTCCCTTTTTGGCGGTTTTAAATATCACTTTTTGGGCCAATTTAAAGTGATTTTCTTGCGGTTAATCTGAAAGGGAAAATACGTGGAGCCCTGCTTGCTGCAGGATCGGCACGAAACAACGAGCTTTTTGGTTGGTGTTATGTTCTTTTTTTCTAGAAAAAGTAGTTTAGGGAAACCAACCCATGTTACTAGCAGAGAAAGGGATACGTTTTCTGTGTCCGAGGCACACGGGCGAAGCTTCCTTTTGGCGCGGGTGGATCCGGTGAAAGGCGGGCACAAAGCGCCTATGGGAAGGTCTTCTTGATCCCATGTTATTTTATAGAGTGCCGCCTTTTTTTTGTTCCTTTACCTTTTTGATTTTTGGTTTAAAGGGATCCCTATATTTATGTATTTCCCTATCCAAGTCTATGGTTATGTCAGGCAAACGCAGCCGCTGGGCATTAGCTGGTGGAGGTCCAAAACGGAACCGGGACGAGAGAAGGAACCCGTTGCATGAATTTATGGACAAAATGATTTGAGGATAGGAACGGAGGCTTTCCAATGTAAGAAGAATATAGGTCTTTTTAAACATGTATAATTCGTTGGATTATTTGAATAATAACTGGAATGTTGGTGAATCGAGAAGGCATATCGATCTCGGTTAGGTCTATCTTGCTTGGAAGGCGGCCTGTCGCGATCTTAAGTGGAATTTTTTTGAGACACGGAGCTAGTCTTGGCCAGAGAGAGGCTGCAAACAGGATTGGTATAGGGATTGTTGTGGGATTGTTTTCCTTCTGATAGGCTGTAGTGTAAATACCGTAAGTCTGCAATTGCTGGCGACACGGCTCGGTACGATGGATGGTTATGCGCCCTGACAGTAGCTAAATTGTTGGTTAGTGCTACCTTTTTTCCCTTTTCAAGTTCTTGAGGGTCATGTCTATCACAGGTGCCTGTTTTCTACCAGGGTCGTTGGGCAACTGGAAGTAGCACGGTTGTGGGGTGTTTGAAGAGACGTTCTAGGCGAAGTTCCTGCTCAGTCTGCGGATTTTGTGATGAGCGTGGGATGCTCAACGCTTAAGTTGAGGGATTCCCCGTGTTAATTTGTTGCGAAAGGTGAAGCCCCGGAGGTTTAAAGCGGAACCGGGACGAGAGAAGGAACCCAATAACGACCCCGAGAAAGAGATCGCTATTAAAATCGGTTGTTGTTTTTTTCGTGGGCTCTATGAATTTGAGGGCAAAATGATTTGAGGATAGGAGCGGAGGCTTTCGAATGTGAGAAGAACATAGGTTGTTTTTAGCATGCATGAATCGTTAGATTATATAATTTAGTCTTTTCGGTGAACAATAGTTGGAATATTAGTAAATTGAGAAGGCATATTGATTTTGGCTAGGCTTGTCTAGCTTGGAAGGCGGCTTATCGTGATCTTAAGTAGAATTTTGAAACACGGAGGCAGCCTTGGCTAGAGAGAGGCTACGAACAGGATTGGCATAGGGATTGTTGTGGGTATGGGAGCCTTTGGCTGGCTTTAATTTGGGATTTTTGTCTAATTATTGAGGATATTCCGGTTATAAATTTTTAGCGTTATGCAAATATGTTGCAAACTGCTTTCTTTTTGGTAGGTTGTAGGGCAAGTGCTATAAGTCTGCAATTGTTGGTGATACGACTCGATATGATGGATGGTTATGCGCCTTGATAACAGCTAAGTTGTTGGTTAGTGTCGTGCCACCTTTTTCTCCTTTTTAAGTTTTGGGGTGGGCATTTCTAATATAGGTATTTGTTTGCTATCGAGGTCGTCGGGCAATTGGAAGTAGCATGGTTGTGGGTTATTTGAAAAGACGTTTTAGGCGAAATTTTTGCTCCTGGTTACATTTGGTGATATATATCCAGCCGGCGCGGCTTGTTTAGCTTGAGAGTATGGAAAGGTTTTAAAGTCTAGTTATGTTTTTACTTGAGGCTCAATATATTCTTAGCAAGTAGTCTACGGATTTCATAATGAGCGTAGCATGTTTAATGTTCAAATTGAGGAATTCTCCGTGTTAAATTATTATGAAAAAAGAACCCTTATTAAATTAGTTAACTAAACAAATATGTTTTTTTTTTTTCTGTTTTATCATAAGCTCCGGATCGGGATTTAAACGAGCTTATTATGAAAATTCCTTATTTGGGGAAAGCGGTCCGGGAATTATAGCTAGTTAAACCTATTCGGGCTACCCCGGCATATACGCGGAAGATATGCTGGCTGCATTTTTTATAGGAATAAATTTCCCGAAATATTTCGGGAATCGTAATCATTCGTTATTTTCTCGAAATATTCCGAATATTTCGGGGACCGTTTTCCCGAAATATTCCAAATAATTCGGGAAATATTATTATTGAAATATCCGAATATTTCGGAAAAATGGTTCGGAGCGCAATTATCGAAATATCCGAATATTTCGGAAAAATGGTCCGGGTTTTGAACGAAACTATTATTGAAACCCTTAGTTATATATTTTAAACCCAATAGAAATTGTTGTGTTAGCTTGTTTGTAAGCATTGAGTTAATTTTCGACCGCTTATCGGTAATATATAAATAGGAATTGAGACATTTTGAACCCAATTTTTTCAAATGATTTTTTTGTGATTAAGCTGAAAGGGGAAACACATGGAGTCCTGCTTATTGTAGGATTAACACGAAACAACAAGCTTTTTGATTGGTGTTATATGTTTTTCCGAGAAAAATATGTTTAGGGAAATTATGAGTGTAGGATGTTTAGCGTTCCTTATTTGGGGATCTTTTATGTCGGGTATTAGGATTGTTATGGACTTCTAAAAAATGTAGTTTTGATTGAATTTAGTAAATAAATTAATTTTATTATTTTCTTGCTATGGGTTTTATTTCATATGTTGTTGGAAAGTAATGGGCTCCCATTAGTGTTATATATAATTATAAATATATTAGAATAATCGAAATTTATATATCTTTTAAATATAAATAATACTAAAAAGGTGGAAAGGAATTTGTAATTTATTTACTTTTAAAATGGAATTAAGAAAAATAATATAAAACAAATTATTTATTAAATTATATTTGTTTCTAATATTAAATAAACATATATTATATTTAAATTAATAAATTAGTTTAACAATTTAAAATTTATTAATTTATTTTATTTAATAGTAATATTCAACATATATTAATTTTAACATTTTAAAAAATAATGAATATAATAATAAATATTATATTATGTTTTTTATAAATAAAAATATATATATATATAAATTATAATTGCTTATATATTTAAAATAACCATAAAAACATTACAAAACATTCTAATAACCTTTCTTCTTAAACGGGGAGGCGATGGTGCAGTACAAATCCAAGGTTACTCGGAAAAATGAGCATAACTGCTCACAAAACAATCTTTATCATCATTATTATAATCTTTGAAGCTAGTATATCTCTATTGACAGGATTAACCAAGTTGAATTATCATGAATATCACCAGCATCTCGGTATCATCACCACCTTCTTTGTCATCGTCTATCACCTTCTTCGTCATCGTCTTCATCTTTTTCATATATATTTTAAAAATGACGTTCGACCCGATTGGAGATACAGCCGAAGTACTTATTATTATGATTGTTGGTGATGCTGAGGATATATCGTGAGAAATATTATATCCACACATCTCCTATATCTCAAATCGGATGTAAAAATCACGATGCATCCTCAGCATCACCAGCAGTCATGCCTACATATCGGCTGCATCTCTAATCGGGCCAAACGTCACTATTGAAATATATATGAAAAAGATGAGGACGGTAAGGAAGAAGAAAATGTAGTCGATTGGCAATGCAGCCGATGCGTAGTTATGTGTCATCATGATTGCTAGTAATGACGTATCGTGATGATAATTAGCCGATTTGAGATGTAAGAGATACATGAACATGATTATTATAATGTTTGATATTATTATCTTTTTTATATATATTTTAAGAATGATATTCGGTCCGATTATAGATGTAACCGATACATAGATATATTTATCATTATGATTGTAGTAATATTGAGGATAAATTTTAACATTATGATTATTATTATCCGATTTAAAATATAAGAATAATATTATTATGGTCGTAACTTTGAGGCTAATATATGACTATTAGTAGGATTAACTAGGTTTCTCGATCATATCGTTATTGTCATGATGTTCATGATCATCACCTTCTTCGTCATTATTTTCATCTTTTTCTTAGATACAGGAGATACGTAGTCACGACCATCATCATGCTGAGGGGTTTGGAAGGGCTACAGGGTGCGGGCCCGGAAAATTGCCTAAACTTGCCGAGCCTATAGCAATAATTCGGGGCATTAAAGGTATATACAACCAATTCATGAAGATAAATAATTCTTGTATATTAGTTGTGTTTAATAAGCGACGCTTTGAAGATAAATAGTCGTTGAATATTAGATGTGTTCGGTGAGCGACGCTCTAACATAATTTTTGCATAGAGATATATTTGTTTGTTCTACAACAATGTTGCACGGGCTTTGCCTAAATATCAAGCGCTAATAAATCTTGCTACGAGCTTTCTGTTTTGGCGTTTTTGTAGCTTCAATTATTAGGTTTTTACTACTATCAAAATAGTAAGGTTTCCGCCAAACCCTATTTTTTCTATTTTGTGTATTATAAAATGTTAATTTCTTTTTATCAAACACTTTAAAATAATTCATTTCAACATAAACACCTACACGATAACCAAAAACATAACTAACAATTTCCAAATTATTATCGAATATGTAAAATTGGCCATAAAAAAATAATAAAAAAAATCCTACCTATTAATCACATATATACGAAAATCAACCAAATCAATTATAAATATATTAAAACATTATGAAAATAAAAAATACAATCACCAACCTAATAATTTATTATAACCAACCAATATCAAAAAATACAAAAAAAAACAAATATATATTTCATATAATATATCTCTAAAATTCGGTTTTAGATCTTAAATTATATCTATTCAAAAACCATAAATAATTCAAAAACCGTAAAATCATTTCCCATATAAATACCAATAATCAATATCTTCCCATAATTTCAAGATATAATAAATCATTTTATCCTATTTATTAAATAACATATACAAAAAATCAATAATATAAAATAACAATCCTTAAATTAAATTATTCAATTATATTCAAAAACTAACCACAAAAAAATAATTCCAACATTTCCTTATATTAAACCATACCCATCATATATATTAAATCAATTTAAATAATAATTTTCCAACAATTCCATCATATATAAATCAATATAACAAAAACACAATAAACAAAACCACTCATTCTTCGAAAATTATACTACAAACCCCAAATAATATCTAACTATAATATACATCTAAAAATAAATTCCCATTATATACAAAATCCATATCGTAACCAATACAAATTATATAACTATGTAAGAATAAAATACTAATACAACACTCGTGCAAAACCAATACATCGATAAAAATAAGAACTACTTACCCGAATAAAATATTCATATCATACAATTCAGTGAGCGCCAAGCCAAACCGCTTAACGACTATGCGCTGCGAAATAGCCAACAGTACTGGTGTGTGAGTATCTCAAGCGGTCCAAATATAAAATCTTATGTACTAAATTCCAAGATGATCTTAGCCTTTTACATGCGTTTTCGTTATGCTATTTGTCACATTGAACTTACAATTCATCCAACGATCTCAGTAGCCTAAAGAAGACGTTGAAACCCTGTGTCCGGGTTTGAATCCTCTGCCTTGCCTGCCATGTGGGCCATTCCAAAGCAAAGGCCTACAGGGAAAAGGAGGACCTCAGCAACTCCGCATTTCCAGTAGCCTTCCCAAAGAAGCAGCAACACACTTGTAATCCGCAGACCCAAAGAATCAAAGATGAAGGTCCGTTTCGAGAATTGAAGCAAATATTGCCAAATGCCTGCTGAGCCGGGAGCATGCGAACACACATAAACTTCAAACAGCGCTGCCAAGGCGGCATTGAGCAAAAAGAAGCGCTTCACGGTTGTTGCAGACAGAAACTTCTTGCCATCATCGGTACACATCACGAGAACTGCCACTAGGGGCACGAACACGCCATAGCTCCAAATAAGGCCTCCATTCACAGCTGGATTCCAGTCAGCCTTTGCTGCATACCACGAAATGGCAAGGGTGCACATCGTAGTGAGCTGTGCCCACATCAAGTATGTCCCGCTCTTTGCCGGAATCAAACCTGTTAGTCTTAGGCCGCTGCCCCGCCACAGCAGATAGCTGGGCAGCAGCGCGCCGAAGCAGAACAGGATGCCCACCAGGACGAAGAGCGAAAAGGCGCCCAGCTTGGCGTTGCGATGCGCATCGCCCAGGAGTGCCAGGATGAGCAAGGTCGTGGAGGTGTAGGCCAGGCTCATGTCAGCTGCCCCTAAGATGTCCAGCTGACCATCGGTCAGGAAGTTGGCGCTGGCAGTTTCTTTACCCCAGCCCCAGGGGAAAATCTCATAAAAGCGGAAGGAGCAAAGAGTCTCTGCGTGACTGTACAAGTAGTCGAAGGTAAAGAGGCAAAACGAAGATGTGCATCCACCGTAGCCCACCAAAGTAGGAACTGCAAAAATGATCGAGGCCATGAAGAGGAACTCAAAAACGACGTGCCATCTATCCAGCCTTGAGCCAGGACTTGCTGTGTACACATAAACGAATCAACTGATACACGCAGACACAAAACAATACGCAACAAAAATAACGCAATACAGCCACAAACCAAGTAAAGCAACACAATATCATTGAACAAGCCAATCGCAGAATCGTCACTCAAACTGACAGAGCCACACCAACCAGATCACAGCACATCTAGATAGAAACATCTATGGACACTAAACTTAAAGTGCTCCACTTGGCCCGCCACACTGGCACACTGGCAAGCAGCATTTCATCTTACAGTCCAGCACTTAAGCCTGTTCAATGCATACGTCAAACATCAAGCAACTGAGAAGTGCCCCGACACTCCAACGGCCCGCGAAAACTTTTGACTTAGTCCCGGGCAAGGGCCGAATGGCTTGCCAGTCTAGTCACCCGGTGGTCATTCCATTTTGTGGTCTGTGCGATAGTTCCCGGATCGAACCACTTGCGATTGTTCCCTTAAAATGGGATCAATCCGTGCTTGCCTGCCGAAAAAGGCAGCTCGCATACTTATGTGCGCAGCTGGTTGCGGCACCTGCGACTGTATCACTGTGATGCCGGTGCCCGCAAGGTATCTTGGTGTCCAGGATTCAGCCCATTTGCCGCAAGCAGCAGTCAAGCTAACATTCAGCAGGATAACATATCTTACAGCATCACGCTTGGACCAACTCGTACTCCGTGCCGGAAATGTTTTTGTCCTGGCCAGCACTCTCATGCGGAAGATACATTCACAACGGCCAGTGCTGGAACGAAGAAAAGCACCATGCATGCTGGCGGGTTTGAACACAATAGCGCCGTCAAGCAGTGACCGGCTTCTTGCAAGTCTTGCAAGGGTCCCCACGCATTCCTAACACGACCCTGCAGGTGCCCAAAGAGCGCCTTGTAGACCTCAATCTTGTCATCGCCGTCGTGCTTGGCCACCTTGCCCCACCTTGCCAACAGCATACCCTGCACCGCATTTTCAGGACGGGTTCAAAGCGCATGCCCATGGCATGAGGCTCGGGCTTGCCAACGATGAGCCGGATGTAGCCCTGCGAAACGGGCACTTGTTTTATCAACTTGGACCTGTCTGATGTAGACAACTGGTCTACTCAGAACATTCAACGAGCACCGCTTTGGAGCACAAGACTTGAGCTATGCTTTCTACTGGCTCCCTTTTCAAGATTCCTTCCCCATGCATGTCGCAGTTTCAGGCTGATTGGAAACAACTAATGCAAGTAAGCCCTTGGAGTTTTGGCCAATCAGTTCGCCACCAGATCGGCCGCCATTTGTCCACTCAAGCTATGCCAGCTGTTTTGTGCTCGCTAAGCGAATCACAAAGAAGGCAACGGCTCACCACTGTACACAAATTCAGGTCGTGACCTCAGCCTCGGGCCCCTTTCCCATCATATCTCCAGGGTCGGGATCGCGACTGGGGACACTTCCTCTGTCGCATGCTTTCGCTTGGCCGTCTGGCTGCCATCAACACGTGATCAGTCACGGATAGTTGAAACTGCGTGCGCGACTTGAGGGCTAGGTCCCACCAAACGGTCTGGCGGGAGGGTAACTCAGGTACTGTCCTGCATAGATGCGTTGACTATGAAGGTGCCATAGACACCGACCTTTCACGGGCAATCTATGGAATGTAACTGTGCCACGTTTGGATACATTTAGGGAGATGGGGCTAGCAACATCTTGAGCAAACTGTGTGGAAGGCTCAGCTGAAGAAACCACTCTCGCAGGGTTGCATATCTTGATTCAGGTCTGTGGGTTGAGAGTGGGTTTGGCTGCATGGGTGGGGAAGGGTTGGTTTGGGGTGGGTGAGGTGGTTTCATTTCATGACGAAGCGGGTCAGGGTGCGTGGAGGTTGATCTGGAGTGGGGGTGAGTGCGCGCGGGCTTTTGGTGGGTGCGTTCAGGGTTGAGGTCCGTGGATGATGGCTTCAAAACTCATGGATTTTGGCAGGTGGGGGTTAGGTGCGGTGCAAAATGGGGTCACATGTGGGGCTTTACACACATTGTTGCGATAGCCACGCCCAGTGTAAGCAACCTCCAAAGTGTGCAGGCATATCACCAGCGCATATGAGGCCCTTTTTGAGGGCACCCTCTTTGTTGTGGTTTTAATGGGAAACCACAAAACCACCCTCCCATTGGCGGCCTAAACGCAAAAAAAGAGAGACACAGCCATACGAGTAAAAGGTCTCTGAACGGCCGGTCCTGTCGGGGCCGTCACTTCGGCATGGCGGCGGCCTTGCGATAGTCCCAGGGCACCCTCTTGGGCGGGAAGCTGCCATCCTGGGGCTCAGGTCACCTTCCGACCAA